TTTTTTTTTTTGGAGAGGTTTTTGCTATAGGGTGCATGTGCTCTCCAGACAGACAGACAGAGAGACAGAAAGTGAGAAATCACCCCCCAGAAGGGATGGTCACGCCACAATCCCTTCTCCTCCATTCTCCTCTTGGGATCTTGGGCACGCACGCACATGCGCCCAGCATGAGTTTTAAGCCACCAGGTCCGGGACACGAACCGCGGTCGACTATGTGAGAGTCCAGTGACATAGCCATTATGCTAACTGCTGGTTCCCTAAAGATTCATATGTTTGAAATTAAAACTGTTTTCACTTTCACATAGAAATTTTTCTGTTATTATTGACAGAAAAATTAAAACGTGTAATGAGAAAAGTCTGTACACAAAGTAACATGCTATATGCCAAAAAAATAAATAGAAATTAGTATAGAGATAGAATTTAGGATATTTCAGGAGAATAAGTTGAAGTTATCTTTCTCTGAATATTAATAAGAAAACCATTCACTTCTGTTGGAATGAACAAATATGATAAGCCATAGAAATATAAGGTTTACCATAAGGAAAACTTGGGTGAGGGTAGAGAAGAGATCTAGAATGAATCCTCATCCTTGGTAACTTTGTTGAGAGCCACAAGATGGGCCAATGAAGATCCTCATATGTTGAAATCTAGTTTCAGATGACTTTGGTGTTATCTGCAGCTGAAAGAGTTCTCCCCATGTCATCAGCACAGGCTCTTAATTTCGTATGACTTAGTATTACCTCAGAGATTTATCTGTGGAAAATTACATAAAAATGACATTTCCTTCAACATGACAATTATTTTGTGAAAGTAAATTGCTGGATTTTTTCTTTGTCACCAGATGCAAAGCAGTGTGTCCAGTGCCCAGCTCAAGTGTATCCAAACAGTGAGAGAACTCATTGCCTCCCCAAGCCTGTGACATTCCTGGATTTTGAGGATGCTTTGGGGACAACCATGGCCTGTATAGCTTTGTGCTTCTTTGTCCTCATGACTACCGTTTTGCTGGTCTTTGTGAAGCACAGAGATACTTCTATTGTCAAGGCCAACAACCAGGCTCTCAGCTTATTCTGCTCATCTCCCTCCTGCTGTACTTCCTCTCCTCCTCGCTTTTCATTGGCCATCCTAACACCATCACCTGTGTCCTCCAACAAGTTGCATTTGGTCTTGTGTTCACTGTGGCAGTTCCATTCAAAGCCATGAAGCCTAGAAGAACAATGAGGTGCTTGCTGCTCTCAGGGGCTTCCAACTCTGTCATTCCCATTTGCTCCCTGATCCAAATGATTATCTGTGGAATCTGGTTGGGAACTTCTCCCCCTTTTGTTGACATAAACTCACACTCTGAGCCCAGAAACCTCATCATCGTGTGCAACAAGGGCTCAGTCACTGCCTTCTACTGTGTCCTGGGCTACCTGGGCTTCTTGTTCTTGGCTCTGGGGAGCTTCACTGTGGCTTTCCTGGCCAGGAACCTGCCTGACACATTCAATGAAGCCAAGTTCCTCACATTCAGCATGCTGGTGTTCTGCAGTGTCTGGGTCACATTTGTCCCTGTCTATCACAGCACCAAGGAGAAGTTCATGGTGGCTGTGGAGGTCTTCTCTATCTTGGCCTCCAGTGCAGGACTCCTAGGCTGTATCTTTGTGCCCAAGTGCTATATTATTCTCTTAAGACCTGATAAGAACTCCTGGAAAACTTTAAAGAACAGAAGAGGTCTCAAATAAAACTAAGATTTTATCTCATAAGCCTGTATCACAATTTTAGGGTTTTGGATGAAAAACATACCATTTGTATATTCTCCTATTATAAAGTAACTGAAAATGACTGACTTCTCAAATTAATTTTTAAAAACTATTATTGTATGCATCTAATTTTTGAGAGTTACTAAACTTTCTATTATGAATGGTATCTCAGATTAATGGCTATATTTTACATTGTGGGTACTGATTAATTGCTAATTTTTAAAAAATTATTTACTGTGCTCACCTATAAAGATTTTTACTTCTATACAGTCAGGAATAATTAATCCCATACCTGGCTTACTTATTTGTATCTTCTCTTTCTTTTCTAGGAAAGTCTATCTAAAGTTTAGTCAGTTTCTTGATGTTAAAAATCTAGCTAGTGAAAAAAAACGTGTCCCGGACCCGGTGTCTTAAAACTCACGCTGGGCGCGTGTGCGTGCGTGCCCAAGATCCCGAGAGGAGAATGGAGGAGAAGGGATTGCAGCGTGACCATCCTCCCTGGGGGGTGATTTCTCGCTTTCTGTCTCTATGTCTCTCTGTCTGTCTGACGCGCCCTACAGTGAAAATCTCTCAAAAAAAAAAAAGAAATCAGTTGTCTTCTAAACATGAAAACTTGTGGGGACAGGAAGTGGCATAGTGGCTGAGACTCTGGACTTTCATGTAGTTTGAATCACTGACCTAGCATCTTGAAGTTCATCCCAGGACAATGTGCATGTGTGCCTAAAATCCTGAGTTGAGAGTGGAGAAGGGATTTCCGTTTGACCATTCCCCATGGGGGGTGATTTATCAGGTTTTGTCTCTCTGTCACTCTATTTCTCTCTATTGAACAGACATATTCCATACCCAAAATCTCTCTTAAAAAAAAAAAAAAGTTATGTAGTGAGGCCAGCAGGTGGCAAAGTGGTGAAGGAGCTAGACTTCCACCTGATTTACCACAATTCAAAGCCCAAATCTGGCTGTTTGAAAACCATGCCAGACATGTATACGTGTGTGCCTAAAATCTCAGGAAAAAATGGAGAAGGGATTGCAGCATGGCCATGCGCCCTGTGCAATGATTTCTAATTTTCTCTCTCACCATCTCACTGCCAAATACACATGCCCAATGGCAAAAGTCTTTAAAAAAGGAATGAGTTGTATAGTTCCAAGGTGATTCACTGCTGATTAACTGTTGAGCAGTTTCAAGAGAAAATGATACATTTAACAGTACAGTCCAGTAGCAAATCCTACATTTATTTAATTACAATGTAATTATCATAACTTAATTTACTCTATTTTTAAAAGATTTTTGCTATGGGGTGCATGCACTCACCAGAGAGACAGAGACAGAGAAATAGAAAGTGAGAAATCACCTCATACAGAGACAGCCATGCCATAATCTTTTCTCCTGCATTTTCTTCTCTGGTGCACCTGGTGTGAGGTTTAAGTCGCCAGGCTGAAGCTGACTACATGCAAGTCCAGTAACTAAATTTACTCCTTGGACTGAGTTCTGATAATATTAAACTGTAAATTAAAGATATTAACATATTTTGACTTTCCTATGGAGAATCTATTTTCTACACTTTGGGAGAAAAAAAATGGAAGAACTTGAGATGATATTCTCTATATGGAAAATGTTTTACTGCTTGATTACATTTCTTGGTTTAACAGTTAAGATGTTAATTTATAAGAAGCAAATTATGTGATTTTCAATTCATGTTATGTACAAATATTACATTGGGGAAAATAGAGACTTAAAAATATATGGAAATAAAATTAATCCTGTCGTTTTAGAGAACTTAATAAGAAGTTATTATTTAAAGCAGTAAACTTTGGTGTCTTAATACAGAATGGTTATCAGTATTACATATGTAGATGACAATTAAAGGATGTAAAGTATTTTCAGAGTCCTAGTTCATCTTCTTTTTCTTTTTATAGGGTTTTGTCTTAGGGTACCTGTGCTTGCCAGGGAGACATAGAGTGAGTCAGAGACAAGGAGAAGTAAAAAATTACCTTCTAGAGGGAATGGTCACACCACAATCCCTTCTCTATTTTTCTACTGGGATCTTGGGATGTACACAGACACCTGGCCTGAGTTTCAAGCCACTGATCTTGACTCAAACTGCAGTCAGCCATGTGGGAGTCCAGCAACATAACTGCTACACCATCTGTTGACCCCCCCCCATCCAGGTCTTTATGTTTATATTTGCTGCCCTGAGATTTACAGTTCTCTCTTTAAAATGATTTTTTTTTTCAAGTGTGCTTGCCCATCTCATTACCAAATCTAACATAGCTCAGATTTCTGGCTTGAGTATGTTTGCATTTTTGTTCTTCCAGACATGCATTCTTATGTCCTCTTGACTTTTCAATCACCGTCAAAAGACAAGAAAACCTATAAAACAGAAATTTGATGGTTAATCTGAGGGATGCTCATGGCAAGATCTATTTACTTCCAACCATTCTCCCAGGCAGCCTTTATGGTACATGCACAGACAAGGCAGTTGTGCTATAGTATCTCCCTGCTGCCATTCTTCAAGGCACATTGTGCATTCCTAGCATCTTCACTCAGTACATCCTCATCATAGTCATTCATGGCTTTTTTCAACATATCACAAGATGTATATCCATGTAATCTGAGGGTACAAATTTTGCAGGTACAATGAGCTTAAATTCTCCAAACATGTGCAGCAGGTGGTGTGGGGATAAGGATTGAATCACAAGGCATGGCACACAGGGTCTCCTCTTGGCCAGCCGCCCCTACCACTGCCACTGCTGTCCCTTGAACTGCTGTGCATGTGGTCCTGTGAGCCCCACAGTCTACCGCTGCAGTTGGTGCTGAAGGAAGACTGTGCTGATGTCCCAACCAGAATGGAGCTGTCTCCAGGAGGTGCTGGACTGATGAGGCCCAGCACCTGAACCAGAAACCTGTCATCTCCCCATCCCTGCTCTTTTAGTTCCCTTCTTTGCTCCTGGAAGGTAGATCTGAGCCTGAGTCCAGGAGTGCAGCCATTAGGAGCTGCTGGGCTACTCTGCTTGGTGTCCACTTTCCACAAATCAAGGCAGGGTCTAAGCTAAGCACCCAGTGAGCCTAGGGAGCATGGTGAGGAGGCACGGTCAGGGCTCTGAAGCTGCTCTCAGAGGACACCACACATCTAGGGGCAATGCCAGCTCCCCGAAGGCACTAGACATTGGGAGTGCTCTTATTCTCTGGGGGTGGTGGGCCAGTGTGGTATTCTGATTGGGAGCCAGAAACAAAGAGAAGCTAGAGAAAGAGGACCCTGCAGTTGATGCCATGTGCTGGTGCCTGTGGGAGGAGACAGCTCATGTGACTGTACAGCTGTTTCAGTTCTGGTGGCCACAACTGCTGGGCTCTGAGACTCTGACCTTCACACTGCCTCCTCCAGGGGCCACTGCTAAAATTGCCAGCCATGGAACCCCATGGGGTGTGAGGCCTCATGGAGGAGTTTGTTTGCCAAGAATTATTTTATTTGGGGGCCAGAAGATGGCATGGTGTTTGAGGTTCTACAGAGGCCAACTGCAATTCCAGTACCTGGACTGGAGGCTTGATTTCTCACTTTCCCACTCTCTATCTCTCTGGCCAAATTAAAACTAGTAATATTAAGTAAAAATAATTATCATCATTATTTTTTAAATTTTACTGGAGAGAGACAAAGAGAGAGATAGGAAAAAAGGGAAGGTAGAAAAACACTTTTGAGACTTTCAGGACTTTAGAGTCCCACCAGATCTGAGACTCAGACCATGGTCAGCTATTTTAGAGTCTAACACTTTTATCACAGCACTTGTCAGCCCAAGAAATCATGTTTCTTAAGTAACATTAAAGATTTAAATATATCTCTAGGCAAAATTCCTACAACATCCCAAAGATTTTGGTATGATGTGTTTCTAATTTTGCCTTAGGTATTTTTGTTAGTAATCCATCATGTGGCAGAGTAGTTAAGGTGCTGGACTCCCACATGGCCCACTGCAGTTAAAGTACCAATGTTCTGGACCAGGAGGAGTGGAAATAAGGTAGGTCATGTGTGTGTGTGTGTGTGTGTGTGTGTGTGTGTGTGTACCCCAAATCCCCACAGAAGAATGGAGTAGGAGGGATTACAGCATGGTCACCCACCTGAGGGGTGATTTTTTCACTTTCCCTATCACTGTCTCTCTGTCTCCCAGCAGTAGAGGTCCTATGCCAAAAACTTCTAAAAAACAGGTATTATTTAAGTAAAAATATGAATTATATATAAAGCTGTTTTGTTTAACAGATATAGCCATGTAACTTGCCTTTATTAAAACTTTGGAGGACCAGCAGGTGCTGTGAGGGTTAAGGTGCCAGACTCCCATATGGCTGACTGTAGTTCAATTCCCAGACTTGACAACTTGCTGTCACTCCTCCCACCTATCTCTGTCTGGTGACTATAGCAAATTAAAATCATAATAAATTAAATTAAATTAATAATTTCCCCCAAAAAATCTTTGTAATAGTCCCTATTAAAAGTACTGGAATTTTCTCACTATATATGAGAAGATTATTTAAATTTGTACAATTAGTAATAGACACGTGGCTGAGTCTCACAGGTGAAACCGAGCAAGAATCTCCTAATGTATTTTCTAGGGTTCCTGAAATATAAAGTCCATTTGCATTGTAATGGCCCAGAGTAAGGAGTAAGTCTTCAGACTTTGATTATGATAATGACCAACATGGACCATGAGTGAGGGTCATTTGATCTCTAAAAATCTCACTTAAAGGAAATAAGGTTTTCATTTCAGTATGTAAGATGTTTTGTAGACAGGAAACTGCTGGTTGTGAGCTCAGAGATTGATTCCAGATTGAACAGTTCCAGACACCTGAAGAGGAATTTGATTATCTAAGGCCTCACCATTCAAGAATGCCCATGAGATGATCATGCCCTCTTGAGCCAATCATTGAACTGATCATGTGCCTGGGACCTCTGTCCCTAATTTTGCCATTAAAAACGCATGTTGGGGAACATCTTGGGGAG